GTAGGGTTGCCACCTGTCCAGGATTCACCCGGACAGTTCGGGTTTTGAATGCTGTGTTCGGGTTTCATGGCAGCAGAAACCCGGACACAAGATGTCAGGCAGACAGGGGCAACCAAAATTAAGATCGGGGCTACTGGGGCCCCCACTGAAAATAGTCTCAACTGTGGTATTTACATATAAATGGGCGGCGCTATTTACATATGAATAAGCTGTAAGTTATTTTCCAAAAAAAATGTCCGCACGACGCTAGAGTGTTCGGGTTTCGCTTGAAGAAAAGGTGGCAACCCTACATGTGAAGCTCCCCCGTGGACTGTGTACTTGAGGTAGCTGCTGGTGTTCAGCCTCTCCGGCCTGCGAGTCTTCAGAAACACGGCGATGCCGGGAGCGCCGGGGCTGGAAAGTGCTCGGCAGCAAACGTTTCACCAGAATGGAGTCTGTAAGGCAACCTAGGCAGAGCGAGCGCCGTGTCCGGAGGTCCAGTTCAGGGGTTCTGGAGAGCTGCAATCACAGGGCTCTGTACGGGGAGAGCTTGGTGCTGGTAAAACTGAGTCCATTCTCCGAGGTCACTGGCCAAACACGGGCACGCTGGGAGTAGGAGGGCTATAGGGGGCCGGCCTGCAGTATCCAATCCTCCTGTAGGTGGCAGTATAACCCAATAGTGATAGACTTCGCTGCGTTCCTCAATGGATGAGAGAGATTCTACATCTCGGCAGGTTGGTCTCGGCTCTTTTCATTCTCCCGGGTACATGATCCAGTCACATGTGACAGGCAGAGATTTACTGACCATTCACACCGCTATAATGACACGTATGAATACACGCTAAAAAACACAGACACCCCCCCATGAAGAGTCCGGAGACGCTTCCCATGTTAGACCTTTCATCATCCAGAATACATTTGTGTGACCAACACGTCACCAGACTGTACAATGTGACCACGCTCACTGTATGTATGGGGGGCAGGGCAGTCATCTCCATGGTGACAACCCTCCCTGCAATGATCAGCACTTTCCCTGCCAGGGTCACCGTCATGAAACACGGAGATGCAGGAAAGCCGGCCGGGGTGACATATGTACCTGGCATGGGGGTGCAGGCACATTACAGGTGGGATAGCGTGTGGTTGGGCCGGGAATGGAGATGACACAGAGCAGTGAGGACATAGGGCAGCGTGTTTAATGTCCTTCATACATGTGATGTGTGTATATATATGTACTGCTCTCCTTCTACACGGTGATCATACATGTGATGTGTATATATATATGCACCGCTCTCCTTCTACACGGTGATCATACATGTGATGTGTATATATATGTACCACTCTCCTTCTACACGGTGATCATACATGTGATGTGTATATATATATATGTACCGCTCTCCTTCTACACGGTGATCATACATGTGATGTGTATATATATATGTACCGCTCTCCTTCTACACGGTGATCATACATGTGATGTGTATATATATATGTACCGCTCTCCTTCTACACGGTGATCATACATGTGATGTGTATATATATATGTACCGCTCTCCTTCTACACTGTGATCATACATGTGATGTGTATATATATGTACCGCTCTCCTCCTACACGGTGATCATACATGTGATGCACATGGGATGTGTATATATATGTACCGCTCTCCTCCTACACGGTGATCATACATGTGATGCACATGGGATGTGTATATATATGTACCGCTCTCCTCCTACACGGTGATCATACATGTGATATGTATATATATGTACCACTCTCCTTCTACACGGTGATCATACATGTGATGTGTATATATATATGTACCGCTCTCCTTCTACACGATGATCATACATGTGATGTGTATATATATATATATGTACCGCTCTCTTCCTACACGGTGATCATACATGTGATGTACATTGGATGTGTATATATATATGTACTGCTCTCCTTCTACACAGTGATCATACATGTGATGTGTATATATATGTATCACTCTCCTTCTACACGGTGATCATACATGTGATGTGTGTATATATGTATCACTCTCCTCCTACACGGTGATCATACATGTGATGTGTGTATATATGTATCACTCTCCTCCTACACGGTGATCATACATGTGATGTACATGGGATGTGTATATATATATATGTACCGCTCTCCTTCTACACGGTGATCATACATGTGATGTACATAGACACGTGTGTATATTTCTCTTCGCAGCTTATCCTCCTCAGCTTGTCCCGGAACCAAAGCCGGTTCTGCATCAGTTGGTCATCCAGAACCGTCCTCACAGTCAGCCCCGCCCTCTGCTGCCCCTCACCCACCAGCCTCAGGTGTCCCAGGGTCTCTCCTCTCCACCAATCACATCCCAAGCTCCGCTGGTACCGGCTTCCTCATGCGTGGAGTCCGACAAGCAGAAATCCAACCCCGTTCTTCCCCTGCTCCCGCAGCGTCCAACCTTCGGAGGACAAGATGGCGCCGTCCAGTGCAGACTTCTCCCGGCCAGCTCAGCCGTCATCTTTCAGATCCCGCGGGCCGTGGTGAGTCCCAGAGAAGGAGGGGACACCGCTCTGTGATTGGTCCGCTCTGTACTATGCCATGATCTTCATGTATGTAGCAGAACACAGGCATGCACACGTCTTCATGTATGTAGCAGAACACAGGCATGCACTGATCTTCATGTATGTAGCAGAACACAGGCATGCACAGATCTTCATGTATGTAGCAGAACACAGACCTGCACACGTCTTCATGTATGTAGCAGAACACAGGCATGCACACGTCTTCATGTATGTAGCAGAACACAGGCATGCACTGATCTTCATGTATGTAGCAGAACACAGGCATGCACAGATCTTCATGTATGTAGCAGAACACAGGCCTGCACTGGTCTTCATGTATGTAGCAGAACACAGGCCTGCACTGGTCTTCATGTATGTAGCAGAACACAGGCATGCACTGATCTTCATGTATGTAGCAGAACACAGGCATGCACAGATCTTCATGTATGTAGCAGAACACAGACCTGCACACGTCTTCATGTATGTAGCAGAACACAGGCATGCACAGATCTTCATGTATGTAGCAGAACACAGACCTGCACAGATCTTCATGTATGTAGCAGAACACAGGCATGCACACGTCTTCATGTATGTAGCAGAACACAGGCCTGCACACGTCTTCATGTATGTAGCAGAACACAGGCATGCACAGATCTTCATGTATGTAGCAGAACACAGACCTGTAGATGGTGTTAGCACTTCAGGACATTACGTACCTGACCCACACGTGTGTACCACTTGCTCCTCTGGGGGGGGGGGCGTGGCACGCAGTTTGGGGAGCGCTGGGCTCCACCCCCTGTATTGGGGGCCAGGGAAGGTATCAGATGTCTCCATAAAGAGAACCTGTCACCTCCAATCACCATCACACACGGGGCTTGTTAGCACTTTTCTGATAGCAATTAAGTTAAGTGAAAACATGTTTTGCGGGAAGGGGGTCACATGACCACAGGACAGAACACTGTAGTACATGTTATGGAGATCACATGATGGGACCGCCATACGTTCTGCCCCGCCCCTAATGACGAGATCCATCTAGAAGTGTCTCATCTCACCTATCGGAGAGGTGTACAGGACGGACTTCCTCAAGGCGCTGACACCAATTCACTCAGCCCTGTGACTATGCACTGCCTTGTGTCACCGCTCTCACAGAGCCCGCCTCTGCTTGGCAGGAGCAATGCATGATGGGAGATGACATCACACCAAGCAGCAGGGAAAGGGGCACAAAGCACAATGGGAGCACAGGAAGTTGACAGAAGGCAGCACACACTACATAAAGTGATACTATGAATGGTGGGGCCCCGGGGCCCTTACCTGTGTACAGGTGGCCCCTGACACTGTATGGGAAGGGTGAGCGGGCTCTGTGTGCGGACAATCTTATTGGCTGGACGGCTCCTGTATATGACACACAAGATAAATATTTCATCTTTAATTACACAAGAGCCAATCCGTGGCCCCCAACGTCCAATGTGGCCCTCAGGCTCGGCATGTGCAGCCCCCCATGGAGAGGGCCGGGGTGTGTGACTGATGTCTATAAAGTGTAATTTCTCCTTCTGCAGACTCCTCCACAGCAAGACAATCCACAGAAATCGTGCCACCCGCACCGAGGCCACCGACAGCCACCGACCCGGATACCAGCCGCTGCACACACCAACCATCTGCAGGACAAGCCACACGGTGAGAGTCGTACAAT